CTAATGATAAAAAGTTCAATTATATTTGTACACAAGAAAATCAATAAATACACAGGGGTAAGTTTTTTTTTTGATCACGCTGTAGTACGCGATCAAACGAGTTAAATCTGATTCAACCGATCTATAGAAAAGCTAAAACGTTTTTGTCTTCTTTTTTTCCATATACAATTAAGATATGGAACATTCTCCCCTTGCAGCTGAGGAAAGTTATTACATGTAAAGCGTTTGCAAAAGATTTGTTACAACATTTTAAACTTGTTAAAACCATTTCGCCTGTAAAGGGAGTAAATAGAAGGGCAGATATAGCTTTTAATCAGATGAGAGTGGACTTTTCGGTTTTGAACAACGATCTGCTTAAACGACATCTGGTTTCTAATCGGGAGTTTTGCGAGTGTGGAGAATCCGAGACTTTCTTGTCATAGCTATCGTTTGGCAAGAGCAAATCTATTTAAACAAATAAAACTATGTGATCCGAACTGTGGCATTGACTTAAACTTACTACTACTACGAAAGAATCTAGATTTCGAATTGTATAAAGATCTTTATAAGCTTATAGTACAATATGTAATTGAGACAGCCAGTTTCTAACTGTAACATTCCACGAACCTTCCTTCTTTTTCAATTCTCATTCTCTTAACCTTTTCTTTTTTCGTTTTTTCTTCTTGTTATGTATTTAACGTACGGTTAGGGATACATCATGTTAAACAACTCCTTCAACTATGTAATGCTTCGGCGCATTAGAATAAAAGTTGTTAGGTGTATTCACTTCTGAATAAAAATAGCTTAAACCAAAAAAGGAAGTACAGAGAAAAAACTTTCGTTTGCTAAAAATAGATGGCGAATACACAACAATTACAGAACCTTCGTAGCATTGAGGATCTAAAGTGGAATTCTTAAGAGGGTCTCCGTATTCAGAAAGGTATTTTCCAAAGATTGTATTAAAGAATAAAAGACTCAACTGATTCATTATATATTCATGTAAAATGGGATTTATTTTGTATAAGCTTACCTGTCAGACGGTGTTTAGATAAGAAACAATAACGATATGGAACAAAACTGAAGTTTAGGCTTCTGAAACCAGGTTTTGGGGGAAAATTGCATAGGTTGTATTAGGTTAACCAGGTTAGGTTATGAAAAACATTAATAGGTTAGGTTTAGGTTGTGAAAATTTGTATAGGTTAGGTTATAGGTTGTCAAAAATCGTAACCTGCGGGACTCTAACTGCAGGTTTCTTCATAAATAAAGTGGGAGCTCAAAACAGAATCTTTTTCTTTCTTGCAAAAATAAGGCAGTTTAGTGCTAGGAACACTTTCTATGTCTAACTTTCACGAAGTTTCAACATCGACCTTTTACGCCTTTCATGAATTTTGATGAATCGCATGGGATGTATGTAGCTGAATGTGCTAATCCTGAATATTCTATTGAGAATTCGAAACACTTATATTTTCCACAGTGAAATTAAATTTCACAGTATTTTAACGCATATTATCCTTTGGGGATTTTATCCGTCTATTGATACAAAAACTCATTTCAAAATTCTCAAAATATATCAGATATGTAAAAATGCTTGCTCATTCATAATTCACTCTTAAAAAATCTTTGTCACTCTAGTAGCAAAAAAAAATCGAGTTAGAACTAGAATTTTAGAAGTAAAGTCTTCTTTTACTATTTTTTAGTATTTTTATCATTTATATTTAAAAAGGTGCTGCATGCAACAGTGTCAAAATTTTATATACATAGGCAACATGTTACGCTCTACTGAATGGACATACAAGTAAAAAAAAAAAGGTGATGTCGGTGCTGCTCTCACAAAAATGTTTTCGAATTTACCTGTTTTCTTTTAACTAGATATATTAAACAATCGGAAATCATGTTAAACCAAAAATAAATCATTTATTAGGAAAAGAAATTTCTATATCTGCTGTGTGGAGATATAGAACAAGACAAATCAATCTTACCTTTCAATGAAATGACATGTTATATTTTATCCAGTTTGTCATTTGTAAATTCATTTTATATCTTACTATAATCACACACTCCCACGCGTGCGTGCATAAAGAAAGAAGCTGTTGTTAATAAAAAAAGGAAAAAGTCATGAAAGTGTTTGTGGAACGACATCACCCTGGGATCATCACCATTTATCCTATCTAATTAAACGAATAAATATGTTTATGAATAGGTAGATATTTAAGATTAAAACAACTATGATCTGCCTTGATAATACAAATTATGAAACTCATCGTTCACACCGTTTACTTTTGAGGGAATTTTGAGATATTTATGGGATAAGACCTGTTTTTGAAATAATGACCGTTTGCTAGAGAAATTTCATTTTACGTTGAACGAGTAAAATCAATCCATCCACCATTCTACTTGAACTGATACTATGAGAATGTCATATATTATGAGATAAACAAATGGATTTCATTCCATTATTTATAACCTTTAGACATTATAAATAAATTCAATTTTAAAACTTTACAGCTGACGCAGAAATCGAAAAAACTGACTTTTATTCTCTTAGCAAAATTATCGAATTTGGCACCACTCTTAAATCGAATTGATTAGCTCCTATTAATTTTTTGGGGGAAAGAACGTTCTTCCTTCTTTCAGTAAAGCTCCTAGAGTTTTTATTGATAATTGACATAAACTATAGAAAAACAGCTTTTACAGATTTTCGGAGTTTGATTATCAGCATAGAACGTTGCTTTCTGTTTGATAACTAGATTATGTATGTGAGATTGAAGCAGCAGAATAGAGACGAATCAGCCAGGTTTTAAGGGTATCCCCCGCTCTTTTTTCACCTTGTTGCCAAATGCGGAGCACACGTCCAATCGCCCTCAAATTTATACCACAGATACTTCATCTCAGGTTCTACAATTTTTTTCCGAAAAATATGTTTTCCTTCCCAAGATATATGAAAAATGCTGAAAATCACACAAAAAAAGTTAGTTTTTTTCACCGACTTTCAGCATTTTTCGTATATCTTGGGAAGGAAAACATATTTTTCGGAAAAAAAAATTTAGAATCTGAGATAGGGTCTGAAGTATCTGTGACAAAAATTTGAGCTGGATCGGACTATTTTTTCGAGGGGTCGTAAGGTGACTGGATGAAAATCGGAGTTTTCGAGAAAATCCATATAAGGACATCTCAGAAAATACTGGGGAAAAATACATCGATTTTCTTTTTCGATGTTCTATCTCTGGTATAAATTTGAGCGCGATCAGACGTGTGCTTCGCATTTGGAAACAAGATGAAAAAAGAGGGGGAAGGTACTCAATATAAAAAATGCAAGACATTTTATATTTTATCATATAGTATGTATATTTGCACATTACTTCTCTGTTTGCGTGATTGTGTTACATATTCACCATCTTGGTCTATAAACTAGGTTTTATCTTCTCTATTGTTTACATCAGTTCATGTTATTTTACTCATCTCATGTAACTTTTCTAACTTACATAACCTCAATGATTTCCTTTTTGTTTTTGTTTTTTTACTTTTACTTATTTTTACGATGGGTGTCCTGGGAGGCAAAAATAAAGCTAATTATCATAAAATGTATGCAAGATCAAGTTATTAGCTTTTGCCATATAGATATTGCAGTTTTCAAAGAAAATTCGAAAAAAAGGCGAAGAACTTAGTTTAGAAGAGTATGAATATCAGCATTTTTTTGAGATTGTAGGTTAGAACTGATTGAAATTATTTCTTAGGTCATTAAAAGTCGACCACGACGATAAACGTCATCGTATACGACAGCAATGAATAAACTAGAAAATAAAAGAAAAAGTCTTAGCAATCTAATGCAACATCATCAATAATGGCAGTCATATCAATAACAATATGTGCGCAAAAGAAACATCAAAGCACCGAATGAAAAATATGTTTAGGATTAGTGAGTATTTAAAGGTTTTTTTGGATAACAATATTGGATAGAAAAGTGATTTTCTTCCTGGACATGAAAATAAAAGCCCCGGCAAATTAGGATAAGAAATAGTGAAAACTGGATGTCATATTTTTCCGGTTTACTTCTGGTCCATAAAAAAAATCGGAACTAAAATCAATCATAAAAATGAAGCGGCCATCTTGTAGAGTATTTCATGCTCTATCGAAATATATATAAACTGAGATGCAACCTGACTTTTAAGTACACAAAAAAATTTAAATTTTGTGACTCTGTACCCCATTAAGTATGTCACATGCCTTTCAATTCAGTTTTTCATCATCCATCTAGCAGTGGTCAAATGAATCTTATCTACTGTTGTAGTCAAGAGAAATAATTAAATTACTAGTTAGATGGGGCAACAAGATGATGATAGTGCAAAAAATATTTTTTCACTCTTTTTTTACTATTTTTTCGCTCGGGAATGACACAGAATAATAGAAACGTGACTTTTCTAATAAATTCAATCATTGGAAATGGAAAAATCTGAGTGGATTGATTCTCCCCCTAATGCATCCCCGTCCTTTACTTACATCACAGACTAGTCAGAGCATGCTTAGTTGTTTTTGACCATTCATGTATTTTTGAACTACTTCATGAACATACTAACCTAGCTGATGATAAAAACACTGCTATCAACTGTTTTGAACAGAAGAGAATAATTACTTTTTTTTCGATATTAAATCTTATTTGATAAAATCTATAGTTCAATTAAGAAAAACATTAATGAATCAACGAATTAAGAACATACCATAGTCATCGTATGTGGATTGACATTTATTCATTATCAGATCAAACAACACAACCGGTACTAATTTATACAATTTTTGTTGCCTAAACTAATTATTATCAGATTTAACTTTCACTATGATGTACTGAAAGTTTAGTTTAAATGCTGAGTTCTCCAAAGATCTGGTTTCAAATTTACTTTCCTCGCCAGCACTGTCAAATAACAATTCAAAACTTACTTCCTTGAAGAATCATTTTATATTTTTTTTTCAAATTGGAATAACTGCAACAGAAAGATCTTCGACATTATTTTGATGTTTCATCATGTTTTGGTGCATAAACTGCCTTTCCGTTTATTGTAAATGAATGTATATTCTCTAGAGTTACTTTGGCTATATTACATAGTGTTTCTTGCGTCAAAAATGCTTGATGTGCAGTGATTATAACATTATGATAAGTGAGTAGTTGAGCAAACAAATCATCTTCTATAATTCGAGATGAATAATCTTTGAAATAATATTTTCTTTCATTTTCATACACATCTAAAAGTGACGAAGACATTTATTAGTGTGACAGCTAAATTCATGAATGAATTCTATTTTTATCCTCAGATAAACGATACTTTTAGATAATTATTCCACTAACCCAATCCGACACCACCAATCTTTTCTTGTTTAAGTCCATCAATCAATGCTTGTGTATCAATGAGACCACCTTTAGCGGTGTTTACCAACAAGACACCTTTTTTCATTTTATCAATACTCGATTTGTTAATAATATGTTTCGTTCTGTCATTGAGCGGTAAATGAATAGATATAATATCAGCTTTCGCGTATATTTCCTCCAATTCTTTATATTCAAAGTCCAACTCCTCCTGTTCTTCACTTTTCGTTGTTTGATCATCATAGGCGAGAACTTTACAGCCAAAACCACGAAAAATACTAATAGCAAATTGACCGATAATACCCATTCCTAAAAGAAAACAGTCGCGTATAACTTTTTGAGAAAAAATAAAGAGTATTTTATGCAAAACTCAGAAATAATCCATTTTTCATTCGAAACTCACTCTGCGTGCTCTGAGTATACGGAAGATAATGATTCTACTTTCAACTGTCATTTCTCGTTCTAATTTACCTAACACACCGACCGTTTTATCTTTCATATCGAAACCGACCAAACCGTCGATTCGAAAATCTCCCTGTTTCACTCGTGTATATGCCCGGTGAATTTTTCTATTCAAAGCCATCACTAACATCGCAGCATGCTCAGCTACTGCATTTGGCGAATAACCGGGTACGAGTCCGATTTTAATGTCCATTTCTTCGGCTGTTTTCCAGTCAACATTGTTAAAATCACATGAGCGGAGTACAACCAATTTTACACCATATTCGTTTAATTTTTTCAATATTTCATGATTGCATTCATCATTGATAAAAATACAAATAGCCTGATAACTTTTTGCCATTCGTACCGTATCCTTCGTCAAACGTGTATGAGAATAATTAATTTCAAATCGGTCCGGCTCTTTCAAATCTTGTAGTTTAGTATCAAACGACAATTTATCATATTCTTTCGTGGAATACATTAGAATGCGAAATGCATCCGACGATTTATCCTTTCGAATACTAGACATTTTAAAAACAAATGAACAATAGAAATATGAAAAGTAAAACAAATGCAGTGCGCCAGCAAACAACAATTTGACACAAGAGTTCTGAATACGTAGCAACATGCCGTCCTATATCTCTCAGTCGACAGGTCGAATTTAGATTAAGTTGGAAAATTTGCTCTAGATATAGAAGTTCTTCGGCTGAAAATTATCCTCTTCGTAGGATGGGTATCGTGTGCACTTTTCGTAAATAAATATTTGATCAATTCTAAAATACAAACTTAAATCAGTATAGTTCCAATTACTAGGAAAACTTACTTTAAATCTCTTTTTTTCCAGTTATTGAATTCAAGGTGATGTATCTTCGAAAAAGAGCTTAGTTCGACTAGGCAGTTGTATTTCTAACAGACATTATATTATTTTGTCAGTGAAAATGTTGAGGTCATATTAATAATATTTTGGTAAAAACTCAACTTATCATGCACCAGTTGTCTCGTCTTCAGGAGGACTATCTGTCTGTGTAGATTTCATTCAAAAACATAAAAATATTGAGAAAAATTCTCAAATCTCACTGAGAAATCGTTCTTGACTAGAAACTTCAAATTTTTGCTATTTTTATAGTCATAGGCCTTGTCACATATATCGTTGAATTCGCCGTGTCAATTCTATAAAAATCTATCAATTGATATAACTTACAACTCGTCAACCTTACAACCGCTTTTCTCAGCTTACTTCGTCATAAGATACCGAAAGTTTCCATATTTTTCGAGAAATTTCGATTTTCCAGGAAAAACAAAAATGGTGGCTGTATCTGGATAAATTCTTATATCGCAGCGCATTCCGAAATCGCGTATTCTGTCTATCTCTATCGCAATCTGGAAGACCTTTTTTGACCTGATAAGTGTGAATTCGATCAGATTATGCTAAATGTAGGATCCAAATTTTCTGTTAAGATTGACGCCGTATTTCGTATAAGATCCAACTACGATTCAACTGTAGGATTCACTGACGTGAGGGGGGAGACCCTGCTCATGTTTTAAATAAAAAAAGAAAGATCTACTCTGTGAATGAGTTTAAGCAATTCCGTACAACAGTTAATTACTCACATCAGCGTTGTCATTGTCGTCATCCAAAACGTGTAATGATTGACGAATTAACAATTCATCAATCGTCATATGTGGTTTAGTAAAATACATCTGTTCACGTTCGACGATATAATGAAAGATATTGGGATGGAGTTCAAAAGCACCTTGAATTGATTTCAATTCATTTTTTAAACTAGCTATATCATTGGATATTTTATCTACTGTTCGTTGAACATGTTCCCATGTTAAACACAACAAGAATTTAGACCAAGTGAGGTACATGTGGAAATCCCATTACAATGCCTGCAAATATATCTTTGGAAAACCAAGATTTAGAAAACGCTAAGAGTCCTATGGTTCTAATGGAAAGTTTCTGTGAATAGCTTAGTCTTGTAGAGTAAACATATCTGCAAATAAAACTAGCCACCACCAGCTTTGCTCGACGTTTTTTCAATTTACGAAAGTCCCGTTTACATTACAATCAGTTAAATCACTAAAAAAAGAGCAACAATGACAGTGAAATTTATTGTAGGAGCATACATTTTATACAGTTACATGGAAAAACGTCGTACAGAGCTTGATGACGTCTATTTTGTTTAGAAGTGTTTACTCTTGACGACCAAACTGTTCATAGAAAGTTTCCATTAGAATCATGGGACTTGACTTTAGACTTTTCTAAAATCTAGCCTTTTATAATGATTCAACTAATGATGTTTTTTGAATAAAGACCAAACGTTCTAACATAAAATAGCTATATTTTTTCATTAAGATAAAGGTGGTTTATATCTCAAAATTCCATATAAAACTTTCGTTTTTCTTTTCTTCTTCATAGTTTTCTAGACGCACAAAATTGAAAAAATCCACAATAAGACTTTTACAGCTTTCTTACTTTTTCTACTATCTGTTTCACAACAGAGTGCGCACGGCAGTTTTTTGAACACGGTTTAACGAAGCGTGCTAAAAATGTTCGATTTTCACTGTTGAAAAGCCAAGAGCTAATTGCATCGAGTTAGTTGTGGAGCCCGTTAAAAGTACCACCTCAGGTGGTGTATCACATCGCTCTTTGAAAGAGTAGATTCCCTCGCCAAGAACAAAAAGCAGATCTCCACCTATCAACCTTACCGTATGGAAGTGGTAGAAGTGGTCCAGATTTGAAATAGACCTCCTTCAGATCTGATTTGAAAATACGTGATTATCTCTAGCTCACATCATAAGCCTTACTGCTTTTAGTGGTAGATATTGAGAACAACACAAAGTGCATAGATAATTCTGTCACAGCCATCTGTTTTGTAAAAAGTATAAAAATATTTTAGGTTTGCTGTAACGTATAAGTTATGAAAAAATCCCTGAAAAACAAATGATAGAAGAGCCACACACATTGTAGCTACAAAAGAATTTGTAAGCTGCTAAATTAATGGTTGAAAATCAAGCGCAATGTTAACTATCTTTCAACCAGAGGTGGGGAAGTCCGACCATTCACGAGTCTGCTAAAGCTCCAGTTCAAGTCTAGATCCAGGTCCAAATGCATAGTAGTTTTTGCACTATGCGATAGGTCATAATCATATACAACGGGTAAATAAATTTTATTGATACATTAGATGAATATTTAACAAAAAAAAGATTAATAAATTAGATATCAAATTATATCCATCCCGTTGTTGAATGTGATAGATTTTAACTGCTTTCAAACGGGCTTGATAAAAAGATCCCCAAGTATAAGTCCGTCAAAAATAGCTTCAAGTTTAGACTTGGCTTTGCCCATCTCTGCTTTCAACAAAAGTAATTTTATGTTAGTTTTACTTTACAGGGCTTAGAATCATTTCTTAATTTTTATTCATTCAAAAAAAATTCTAAGCTTGAATTAAAGCCGGGCTAAAATCTAAACAATATCGTAGAAAAATAATGCCAGAGTTCTCATAGAGATATAATTATCAAGACAACATCGATTCTAAGTCGGTTTATAAAAACATGTGGTCACATATTTTTGTCTATAACGTGTGATTGTACTCATAACCATGACTCCATCCTTAAAATATAGACATAAAATCAATTATTTACAAGATGAATTATAGGTATGCATTTACTTTAATCGATAGTGCATATAAATGCTTTAACATAACATGATTTGGTTCTTTCAATAATGCTGAATATTCACCCTATAAAATTAGATCTAGTTAGAACTATAACTATAGTGAACAGAGCGAATATACCCCTGTTAATGGCTCTTGATTTAGAGTAATATTTAAGTGATGGCTAGGCAATGATGGCGGACGGTCTGTTAGAGAAAATTCATTTGGATTTGGTAATATTTGGCCATAGGTTAAATTGTCTTCTGTTTCACTATGTAATGCTTTCATTAGATCAAAATCACTATTTTTTACTACTAACACATTTGTGCGTCCCTTCTCTCCACTTTCGATTGACGGCTAAATCAAAAAGGTTACAAACTATTAACTAATAGACAATATAATAGCATTTGTATAATCGAAGGATTTGTTTTCAAGCCCGTTAAGTATTTTCTAAATGGACTATTTGTGTTAGCTCGGAGAAAGAAATAAAGAGTCCTATTTGATAATCACGCATTTCAAGTTTTTTGCAATATCTCGGATTGAGCTAATTTCCGATCGTACTGTCTTTGTTCTTGAGTAAACGGGAAAATTTTAAAGAATATGTAAATTTGCATTTGTTGTTTAACACTCAAATTCAAGGAGTTTCAGCAATTAGATTACAAACTTTCAGCATTTAAAGGGTCAACAAGGGTTAGTGGAGTAATATAATGAGTTTCTCTACCAGATTTTGCTCGATTTTCAGTATGGCATAGAACTCAGGATTTTAAACTACGTCACTATTTGACATAGTATCAACCGCAATTTTCTAAACAATTTTTAATGTTTGCGCATCGAAAAATTTTTCTAGGGGGAGTGCAAGAAAACTATTTTTCGCTGTGCGAGCAAAAAATCGAAAAACATTTTGAATTTCCGCTGGAAGGAAACGTGGGGTGTACATGTCCCGCCCCCTCGCCACACACAAAATTTATGGCTCTTATATTAAATAACAGAATAACTTTCTAATTTCGAAATTTCTAATTCATTAAAAATGCGATCGAACTAGTAGCAAAATGGCTTAGCTTAGCTCTAAATATTGCCAAAACTTTGAATTCCCGATCATGGTTATCCAATATGACTCTATTACCTCAATCGCATTATATTCTGCTCTTCCGTCAACGATAAACTTGTAACGATGATGCCCGGCAGGTAATTCAACAATGATGACAAAATCATTATCGCTAAAAACGGAAGATATGCATAACGGTGAAATGTAAAAATAAACTAAAAGGTACACTTACTCTTTAACCATATGAACACCATCTTTCCAATTATTAAATGTTCCGATTAGTTTTGCATGTTTGTCCATATATGATGCTGGAAGCTTAAATACAACAGGAATAGTTTTTTCTTTTCACGATCATTTATTAATATCATCCTGAAATATATGGGTCTTTTATCTACTTATGTCCAGAGGGCTCATTCGTTCTCTTTCTCTCTGTACGGGTAGGCTAATCACCATCTTATGTGAATGATTCATTTCGACATTTTTATCCGATTCACTACGATAACGAGACAAACATTTAAAATTACTGTCAATGGACGCTGGTGATTCTGGAGGATATTCAAATACATTATCATGAATAATATCTAGCGGTGAACTGGCGTATGGTGGTGAAGGTGAAGTGGGTGGAGTAGGCAGTGTTGACAATTTACTTTTTGCTATTGGATTCTGAAAAAACTATTTAATGATTCCATTTTTAAATGATTACTCAACTAACATTTTTTTCAAAACTTACTCGATCGTCCAAAGATGCCTGATTATCATTCCCTTCTACCGTAACAAATCGTCCATCATCGCCATCTTGTATATAACGCGTAAATGTGTCTAATCGTTTACGACCAGACGGTTGCTGTTGATTGCCCATGCAGCGAAAACAAGCGAATCTCCTTGTGAAAGTTACTGTCTAAAAAAAGCTGTTGAAAGTCAAGAGAAAAACAAATAATGACGCTTTTTGATCAAAAAATACTTTTTGACATTTCTGGAATGAAGATGAAGATTTTGACAAAGAACGTACAAAAGTTGTCACAAAGAATTAACAAGCTGAAATAATCTCAACTATTCTAAATGCTGTAAGAGAAACACGTCCAAAAAATACCTTTTCTGTTGTATGCTTTTTTCTAAAGAACAAGTTTCAATGTTAAAGTCTTCATAGGTAAAACTATTTAATAATCTAAGAATATAGTACACTCGAGGATAATTAAAATGCACATCTACTAATAATTACTAACTGCACATTATATCGAAATTTCATTTTGCCTTTTCACTTATGTATGAGTAGAGAATATTGAAACAGATTACAGTGCTAATAATTAGATTTCTTTTACAAGAGCGACGCAGAAAACAGTGTGAAGGTTTTTTTCGAAGTTCGGTATATCGTGCACAAGAAAGAGTTTTTATCAACATAGAAGAAAGTAAACACATGCCTATCTCAATGTTTAGTTATTCATATTGCATATGACTTACTAATTGCTACTCTGCGAACAGAAAGTAATTAAAGCGGAAACGGTTTATATAAAAACGCGCATATCTCTATCATTAAAAACAGAAAAACAAAAATAATAAAAAATTTTTTAAAGTGAATTTTTCAATTCTTCTTCTTTTATCAGTTCATTCTTGGCAAACTCGCACGTTCTATAACAAAAATCCAACAATAAGGACATAAAAGCACGTAATTTTAATTATTCAGTGCCTCTCTTTATGTACACATCTTCGTTCGTCTCATTGAAGACATAACGTTTACTGTTAACAATATCATGCCACAGTCGTTTCGTCTTCAAACGTTCTGATTTAAACTTAAATTTTGATTGATTTAACTTAAATTTTTTCAAACCAATTCCATTGTGTAGAGCTTGCGTGAAAACCTATAAATTCAAGCTTTTAGCATTAGTGTACTCTTCCTTCTTAGTATATACGACTTTTTCCAGACTAGCAAAATTCGGGAACTTATTTAAAAAAAACCGTAAATTGTTGATTTTCCGGGAACTATAACAGATGGAACCACGATTTTTTCAGGGTACATAGTACTCAATGTCTACTATATAATGGCATACAAATATTACGTATCTTTTTCATCCATCACGTTGCCATAAGGACGAACCTGACTTCTGAGGCACACTTTTCTGACGTACAGTTCTTCGAGATTTGTATCTACAATGAAGTCGGACTAGTTGCAATGGATAGTACTCACAGTGTACTATCTAGGGCCATTGTCAAAAGTTTGGTGATATTTAATTTGGTACAGAAACATTTTCATCGAAAGTTGATAAAAAGGACGAGTCTGCATAAGGTTATATATTTATATAGAAAAATTATATATTTTTCAAAAATATACCATTCGATAGCTCATGAAATTCTCTACAACCTGAGGTAGTTAGAATATCTAGACAGATGCGCCTAGTTATCAAAGATATGCAAAAGAAGCGTTTGGGTATATATGTGCAGTACAGCGTTTCATAAGAACCCCATTGTTTTTGAATTTTTAGTAATAGCTGGAACCAATAGGAATGCTGATTCGAATAGTTCGAAGATTTTTCTATCAGATGAAGTGTATATCGCCAGACTATGAGAAATATTGATAATAGGGTTTCTGGAAAACCTGAAAGCTAGAAAGCCAAGTGTTTGGTTTTGCTCAGAAAATTTTGCAGACCTTACAGTCTCATAGAGCGAAGAATTCTGAGCAAAATAAGATATCTCCCAGCTGTCTATGACGTCTTTCCAACCGAATATTTTGGTTACTTTTCCAAAATATTTTGTGCTTTTCACCTTTTGTAAATCGACTCCAATTCAGTGAGAAAGCGTCATAGACAGCTGGGAGATATCTTTCATCATCAAGAATTTACGTTTTTTTTAAATAAGTTCTCGAATTTTGCTAGTCTGAAAAAGGTTGTATATACCAGGAAGGAAGAGTACACTAATGTTAAAAGCTTGAATTTATAGGTTTTCACACAAGCTCTACTCAATGGAATTGGTTTGAAAAATATCCGAGATGACCATTGAGCTTGTTTCTGTGGGAAGCAGGCGTTTTTCTCATGCAATCACTCCTATGTGATGTAAACCGCGAGAAATTTCACAATTTCTCATGCCGATTGATTGTGAGAGTATATCCCGATAAAATCGCTCAAACTGGCGAGTTTTACCGACTTTCTGTTGATTTGTTTTTCGATTAACCCACAATTTTTTCCTCTAGTCAATAACAGTGGATCGGTTCGAACCTTACTCTTACATTTTTTCTTTTGTCTCACGAGGGAAGTACCCCAACTGATAAATCGCTTTTTCAACGAAACCAAGTGGACTATAGGTAGTCGCCGATGCTGATTCCGAATATCACCATGAATGCTGCTGTTTGGTCTTCAAAGATCGGTCTTCTGGAAAATCAGTTTTCGAGAAACTCTAAAGAACAACCAAAAGCTTTCTTAATGAGGCGTGATTGTAGTCCATAAATTTTCGATTAAAACGAGGCATCTCCCAGCTCTACACGATTTTTCTTTGCAAAGTTATAGAGTTTACAAGAAAAGTCCTAAATTCATTTTTCGATTTTCTTTCTGTAGCTCTGAGGTGACAAGGAACATTTAGGGCTTTTCTTATAAACTCTATAACTTTGCAAAGAAAGATCGTGTAGAGCTGGGAGATGCCTCGTTTTAATCGAAAATTTATGGACTACAATCACGCCTCATTAAGAAAGCTTTTGGTTGTTCTTTAGAGTTTCTCGAAAACTGA